ATCGCATCCTAAAACATCTTATCGCCTCTTCCTTTTTCAATGTAAGTGTGTTTCCCATCATAGCCACACGTTCTTTGCTGCATTTGGCCTACTGGGGGTGTCATTTATGATGTTCTTCAGTGAAAAGAAGAGTTGAAAATTCAACCTTCATGTATTCTGTTACATTTAGTTTTCCTTGCAAATATCTTTTAAAGGCAGCCTAATGATCGATCTCTTATAGTTTGCCACTTGATGTGAGATGCGACGATTTTTTTAGAATTCTTGCAAGACTTTAAAAATCCATACCTTGACAGATATATTTTATAAACGCTCTCTTGATATGTGTAACAAATTGGCAATGTAAAAAAAATTTGCAACTTGCCTTTCTCACATCTGTATGGTAATCATTCAGGATTTTCAACGAATTTTTTAACAGTTCGCAGGCACCTAGCAATCCTTTAGATTTTCAGCTTTTTTACTTTAGAGAACTCTGACGTTATTTAATATTCATACTTTATCAGTCTAATAAGTCTTAGAAACATTGTTAAAGTTTCAAATTTGCAAAGAGGCTATTATTTTGAGACCTCGAATTCAGGACATTTCATCTAAATGTTTACCGTTTACATACATATGAGGAGAATGCATCGGTTTTCATGCTAACTGCATAGATGTCGCCATCATTCAACAAATAAACGTTTAGATTCCAGTCTATGTCAATAAACATAAATTTATTAATAATGAGAGACTCAGTAAATTACTTTAATACAATGCAAATTTTTACGTCATGAATATACAATTTTACGAGGTGAAGTTGCTCACCATCGTTGCACCGAATGTAGTTGGTAGATACACATGTCAGAGTGAGGTAGGGGTGAGTAGAATGAGGTAGGGGACGTAGATAGCTAGATAGATAAATATGAAAAGACTGAGGTAGGTAAATACATATGCAGAAACTTTAACTCGTAGAGTAACTGAGTGCAAGCGAAACTAAGTGGAAAAAGACGCAGGAGAGAAATGAAGCTAGATCAACACACACACACACAACACACAACACACACACACACACACACACACACACACACACACACACACACACACAGACACACACAGACACACACAAACACACACACACGCGCGCGCACGCGCTAACGCCCGCACTCTCACACAGAGATTTACAGATAAAGAGAAAGCAGTCTTGGGGAATCTTCTATAGGCGACGAAGAAGACGAAGAAGCTTAAAAGAAGAATGTTTGTTGCGTGCGCATTTTATGAGCCGTTTTTCTTTTATGACTTCCGCCCTCATGCCCGACATTACAGCCATTCACTGCATTCGTTCGCCCATTCCTTCGTTGTTCACTCACCGATTCAATTGACAACATTCAAGTAGCAGCCATGATGGAAGGAGATTCATTTTATAAAGCGGCAAATATCCGGCCACGATTAACGTTGATTAAAACTCGCAAGATACGTTTATTCACTCTCGTTCAAATTCCTGCTTTTCCCGAGATTAATTTTAGTCTTTTTCTTGTACACTGCGCGTAGAGCTGCAGACAGTTTTATACTGTTGTGCACATGGAAGCGATTCACGCATTCTAGTAACATTTCTTGTATTTCCAACATATTACACAATCAGACACATGGCGCCTGTCGTAGTGATAGCAGGTCTAATCTAACAAAATTCACTGAGTTCAATATCAACTGCGTAATTTATTATTGTATCCTTAGGTGTGTAAGGCACCTTCTCTTGAACTATGACTAGAAAGACAGTTTCGCAGACAATGGATCCTATATGAAGTGCTAAAATACCAAAATACCAAATACCATTTCAATTTATGAAATAAGTGTTTTGATTCAAATAAATATTCTGCTAGATTTTTTTTACCATTTTAATAATCGTACTTAAAAATAGGTACCAACATGAGATCGCTGGAAAATGAGGATAGCAGAATAATAACGGTCTTAAACATTGACGAAAACAAAATTTTATCGTCAAAATGTTTATGTTTTTATTAAGAGGAAAGAACAAAGTAATTTTTAATTATTTTTCAAATTTTTTCTGTTTTTATTAGAGCATTCTAACTTTTGATTGAAAAACCTCGTTTCTCATCATCAGCGAGTGTCCTACTAAATAACATGGCGGATTTTTGTGTACTTTTTTAAATGGCAGTCATTAATTTTGAAATTCTTGCAAAAATAAAAATAAATGTCGGATTTTAATGAAACTTTCAGAAACTTCACAAATGATGGCAATTGTTAGAGATATGTTTATTTTTTTTTAAAGTCATGGTAAAAAATGTTTTTTTTATATTTATTACCCCCTCATAATTAATTTTATGAAAACTCATGAAATTCTAATTTGTACAGTTTTAGTGATTCATTAGTTAAAAGCACAAGGCTTTGAGGAAAGCAAATAATTTTTTTTAGTTGACCCCCTTCTTCCTTAAAATCGGCTCTGAATTGTAACATACAAAACTCAATAAAACAAAGACATTATTTAATTTCAAAAGCTTTTAGTTGCTTTTACCTGTTTATATGAATATGGATAATATTTTCTGAAAGCAAAAAACGTTTAGAAAATATGCAAACACGGTAACAAATTTTTACTACGTTATTTAAAAATCGAAAAATAAAACGAATACCAAAAAATTAGTTAAATAAAATAAACAAAAATATCTCAATCAATGAATAAGTAAAACAATTTAAGTAAAAAATAAACAAATTAACAAACTATATATATATATATATATATATAGTCGAACAAAAACAACACACATGTCCTGAAGATTGTGTTTAAGCATGGAAGAGACTGTCGTTGCTGGGTGATGAGATATGCTCTATCCCTGATATTGAGCGCTTGAACCCATAAAACTATATCTTTACATCATAAAATTATAACTTTATCATATATATATATATATATATATATATATATATATATATATATATATATATATATATATATATATATATATATATATATATATATATATATATATTATATATATATATATATATATATATATATATATATATATATATATATATATATATTTTATATATCTCTATATATATATATATATATATTTTGATAAACCTGTCTATATATATATATATATATATATATATATATATATATATATATATATATATATATATAGATATAGACAGGTGTATCAAAAACTTTTATAAACTTTGGGGGAGGGGTTCGTGGTTCGTAACACAAAAAGTAAAGACAAAGGTCCACATAAATATATGTCTGCAAATCTTTCGTTTTTGAGATATTAAGTTTAAAGTTTACGGTAGACGCTCTTAAATGTACAATTCAAAAATACTTATACTAACATTTGGGGCGGGTTCGAAACAACAAAACAAAGTAAAAAATTCACATAAACATATTGTCTAAAAGGCCATCATTTTACATCAACACAACAACTCATAACAAAAGGGCAAAATGTCCTCCGCTTGCACTCGTAGGATCATTGACTGGCAAACCCTTTCAAATACTCCCACACGGTGTCGGATGGTATCGCAAACCCTCACGACATGTTTATGAAACGTCACTGCATTATGGATAATAAACCAACACATAAAAACACAAAGAATTGAATTTAGGAAAATGGAACAGGCTATGGAATCGGTCCTCTACTACCGATTCATCTTTCATTGGAGATATCATCTAGTGAATTGCGAACATGTGCCGGAGCTCCATCATTATTGAACCACATGAGTCTCCGTATGAGCAGAGGTACATCCTCTAGCAGGTCTGGAAGGGCGTTCGAAATAAAGTCCCTATAGACAGCTCCTGTAAGACATGCTGGCAGAACATATGGACCTACCAGACAGTCACCTACAATTCCAGCCCACACATTAATTGAAAAGTGATGTTGGAGTCTAGCCTGTATTGTTTCATAAAAATTCCAAACCGCCTACAGATGTTGGTTGTGTAAATGTGTTGTTCCATCTATTCTAAATGCTGCCTTATCCGTAAACAACGAGACAAACAACGGATCGGCAGTTTGTGAAATAAATCATCGGCAAAAGTTCCCCCGTAGGGCGTGATCAGAGGGCGAAAGACTTTACACGCGTTGCAAATGATACGGATGCAGGAGCTGCTCTTGAAGTGCTCTTCATGCTTTACTTTAAGCACATAACTTGTGCTGATAACTGGACCATTATCGACAGTCGGTAGAACGGAAAATATAAGCATATAAACACTTACTTTGCCATTTAAGCACCAATTAAAAATAAACAAATAAATATAAATAAAATAAATATAATATAAACTTGAAATAAATAAATAAATATAAAATAAATAAAGGAACAAATATTAAACATACACCCCGATACGCGTGTGTGTGCATGTACATATAAATATATACATACACACAAACACATACAGACGAATAAATCTATCCCCACATATTAATTACCCCCGCATAATTAATACCTCAATATATAACACCAAGGCAAAAACAAACTATTGACCATGAAATAAAAATGAAACATTAGATAAATGATAACTGATATAATCAAATACTTTATGACATATACACTATTTAACAATTACATATATTTGCGTGCTCTGGTATATACTATATATAAATATTCAAACAAAAAATTCTATTAACCCAATTAACCAAAATTAATAACCTAACAATAGAAAAATAACTTCACCATTTAAGGATAAGTTTATTAATAACAAAACACAGACATAACTGTATAAAGTCTGTGTACGCAGATTTATATGCGTATATCTACTCATGCTATATCTGTATACGTGCATGCACGAATGTGCACGTGTGCGTATGAGTACAGACATATGCACATAAATCCAAACATTAATAAACCAAAATTTAATTATAAATTTAACCTCCTACAATGAATAATTATGATACCACCAAAAGAAATTGGAAGACGAAATAATAGCCTAGTGAACATATATAAGTATATGTGTATATACGCATTGGCGTATATGTGTATATGTACATATGTAAATGTAAGTATTAATCATTTAAGCATTAATGTTATCTTTTCGTCTTTTTTTACTTTCTTTTCTTCGTTCTTTACTTTCCTTTTTTCGTTCTTTCCTTTCTTTTCTTCTTTCTTTCCTGTCTTTTCTTCGTTTTTTCCTTTCTTTTCTTCGTTCTTCCTTCGTTCTTTCTTTCTTTACTTCGTTCTTCCTTTCTTTTCTTCGTTCTTTCCTTTCTTTCCTTAGTTATTTCCTTTCTTTTCTTCGTTCTTTCCTTACAGTCTTTCGTTCTTTCGTTTCTTTTCTTCCTTCTTTCCTTACTGTCCTTCGTTCTTTCCTTTCTTTTCGTCGTTTTTTCCTTTCTTTTCTTCGTTCTTTCCTTACTTTCCTTCATTCTTTCCTTTCTTTTCTTCATTCTTCCCTTCTTTTCTTCATTCTTTCATTTCTTTTCTTCGTTCTTTCCTTTCTTTTCTTCGTTCTTTCCTTTCTTTTCTTCATTCTTCCCTTCTTTTCTTCATTCTTTCATTTCTTTTCTTCGTTCTTTCCTTTCTTTTCTTCGTTCTTTTTTTACTTTCCTTACTTTTTTCCTTTCTTTCATTCGTTCTTTCTTTTCTTATATTCGTTCTTTCCTTTCTTTTCTTCGTTCTTTCCTTTCTTTCCTTAGTTCTTTCCTTACTGTCCTTCGTTCTTTCCTTTCTTTTCCTCGTTCTTTCCTTAATTTCCTTCCTTCTGTCCTTTCTTTCATTCGTTCTTTCCTATCTTTTCTTCGTTCTTTCCTTACTTTCATTCGTTCTTCCTTTCTTTTCTTCGTTATTTCCTTTCTTTTCTTCTTTCTTTCTTTTCTTCGTTCTTTCCTTTCTTTCCATAATTCTTTCCTTACTTTCCTACGTTCTTTCCTTTCTTTTCTTCATTATTTCTTTTCTTTCCTTCGTTCTTGCCATACTTTTCTTCGTTGTTTCCTTTCTTTTCTTTGTTCTTTCCTTTCTTTTCTTCGTTCTTTTTTTACTTTCCTGACTTTTTTCCTTTCTTACTTTCCTTCGTTCTTTCTTTTCTTTTCTTCATTCTTTCCTTTCTTTTCTTCGTTCTTTCCTTTCTTTTCTTCGTTCTTTTTTTTACTTTCCTTACTTTTAACCTTTCTATCCTTCGTTTTTTCCTTTCTTTTCTTCGTTCTTTCCTTACTGTCCTTCGTTGTTTCCTTTCTTTTCTTCGTTCTTTCCTTTCTTTCATTCGTTCTTTCCTTTCTTTCCTTCTTTCTTTCCTTTCTTTTCTTCGAACTTTCCTTTCTTTCCTTAGTTCTTTCCTTTCTTTTCGTTGTTCTTTCCTTGTTTTTTGTCGTTCTTTCCTTTCTTTTCTTCGTTCTTTCCTTTCTTTCCTTACTTTCATTTCGTTTGACGTTCGCCGTTCTCACTTTACTCGTTTTTTCGTTCGTTTCTGCCTTCTTCCTACTTTTTTTTGTTCGTTTGTCAATTCTTCCAATCCGTCCGACCATCCTTCCTTTCTTCCTTCCTTCCTGCTTTGTTCATTCCTTTATTTTTTCCTTCTCTCCTTTTGTCCTTCCTTCCTTCGTTCCCGCCTCGTTCATCCCTTTGTACTTTCATTCTTTCCTGTTGATTTTTTCATCTGAAATCTTTGAGTTCTTTGCGTGCATATTCTTTGCAAAGTCAGGGTCAATAGAATTAGCTAAATATCACAAGATTAATTTGACCCTCCTCGCTCGCCAATCCGTTAGAGACATTGCCGTTCACAATGATTCGTGCCGATGATAGCCACTTAATTGTAAACTTTAGATTGGTTTAACGTCATGTCAATCACGAAGGTTAAGGTTTCTGGTCAGAATTCCTCTCAATCCCGCATCAATCGGAAGCAAAGTGCGACTCTTAAAAAATAAACCAGAAAAAAGACGAAAAAAGATTAATCAGAAAATATAGCAACAAAAATAAAAAAAAAAACGTCATGAAAAACTCGCTATAAAATATCAGCCGAAAATAACATCAACGCGAAAATAAAGATGTTGATATCTGCATGTTAATAGTCATCATCTAATAAAGTGAACAAGCTCACTAAAACGAAAATAAAAGGAAATTCGAAACTGTAGAAAAAAATGAAAACAATAAAAAAAAAAAAAAACACTAAAGAAAAATACATAAAATTTTTGTTACCAAAGTTTCTGAATCAGGAACAATGTCTTGTATCGTTTTTATACAATTAAAAAAAGAAGGAAAATAAATAAAAACTGGAGAGAAAAAAGAGGTGGCAGTAAGCAAAAAATAAAAATCCTCCACAAAAAAGTAATTGAAACAGAAAAAAAAAACCGTGAGAAAGAAATACGGTAAATTAGAATATTTGCTAAATTGAGTTTATTCCAATCATCCATTTTCTTCTGGCCGAAAAAGAAAAATGGTGGGAAAAACGACGTTAGATTTCGTCTACGCTTAATGCTTGTCTTTATTGTTGGATATAAAGTAGGAAATATGGCACGGGTGATGTGGCATAATGACATAAAATTGAGTGGCGAAGATATCGTTTTTCTTTCGTTCAAATCCAACCATACCCGGACGTCGACGTCATCACACCATAGACGTCACTGAACAAATAGCCTCTGTAGTCACAAAGAGTAGAGTAAATAAAAAACGAAAAAAGAAAATTAGTAAAAATAGGTAAAATCTGAGAATGACTGATAATGAAAAAGAAGTTTTTCTTACTCTGTCCCCTAATTATCGTATTTAAAGTGACAAGAATTGGAAGAGAATAGACATTTCTTTAATTGCCAAATACGGAGGGGAAAAAAATAAAAAGCCTAAAACGGAGGTTAGAATGAACGAGAAAGAGGATTAAAAAATAGGAAAGAAATGAGGCCAAGGAAAGAAAAATAGAGGAAAAAAAGACAAAAAAAAAAAAACCAGAAGAAAGAAGCGGTATAAAGATATGGCAGAAGAGGAAGAAGATTTTTTTTCCTCGAATGTCTGGTTAAGTGCATCGACGTGTGATGTCCCAAAAATAAAGTACAAACATTTACGAATCCAACACGTTTATAATTATACGTATAAAACGCATATGTTAACATCACTACTTGTCATATCGATGCACTCGCAAATAAATGCCCACTTTGAAGAGCGTGGAGGCAAGTGACTTGTGATATCCCTGCATTTCCACAACAACAGACTCATCTCTGTGGAACCGCTTCCCGGATAAATATCATTTTAAAGTTTCAGAAAGATGATAATCTGAAAGATGCAGATGATAATCTGAAAGATGCAGATGATAATCTGAAAGATGCAGATGATAATCTGAAGGATCTAAACAAGAAAACTGTAGTGGATGAAGTAAAGCACCCTAACTAAACATTGGAACGTAATCAGTGTACCTCGTAAATAAATGGTTCAACTCAGAATTCCCTGCAGTTTACTCAGATCGATATGCACCTGAGGAAGTTGGAGAACACAACGGCCCAAATGTTTTGATAACAACAACAAAGATGAAGGCACTATTTCGAATGTAAATCGTGTAAATTATACAGTGTAACCAGGATATAAGAGAAACCCGGATATAAGAGAAACCCGGATATAAGAGACTTCTTCTCCGGTCCCGACAACTCTCTTATATCCGAGTTACACTGTAATACTCTATTGCAATATTTTGTGGTGTTACCCTGTAGCAGGGCGAAAGATTAACGTAAATATCATGCTATGATTCGATGAACGTTTCCCATCACTCTACCATGTGTTAAAAGTCCCTAGACCTAGACATCGGAACGAGAGCAATCTACCCGCGTATATTAAATGAAGAGTTCATTTCAAAATTCTAAGAGGCTACTCAGCTCGACAAGCAATTTATGAAAGTCGGAAGGTATAACGGTCTAAGCGTTGTGTTATACTGGAACACACCTATTCTATAGTTAATAGACTCTCCCACCTATAATAAGTAGGAGTAGTAGTAGGAGTCGCGGAGTGGGTCAGTCAGTCGATGCCGGACGACCGTTAGTCGGATATTAAAGTATCAGCCACCACAACTAGATTACTGCGTCATTACCTATTATATCAAGTTCCTAACGTTTTGAACGTCGAACCTATTTTAGGACCGACTTAGTACAAATACAAGCCTCTACTGTGAAATCACTACATAACAAAAGGTGAAGACAAGAGCAACAAAGGTGAAGACAATATCAACAAAGATGAGAACAATATCAACCTGTGGAAATACATGATTATTTACAAAAATTGTCAACATAGAACATCGCGGAATTATTGAACAGGTATGAATCGGGACGAGAGGGCAGCTATGTTCCAGCGGGAAAATCAGGGTTGGGATAAAATAAGAAAATGCATAGATGAAAGCGGAAGTAATGGAAAATGGACGAAACTGTCTGAACATGTATATTGATTCCAATAATTAAGGAATGTAGTTTTGCTATATACAGTCTACCCTAGTGAGCGAAATAAAGGGTTCAGTTCGACATTCCAACCACCTGAAGAAGGCCGGAGCATACAACGGACGAAACGTTGTAATAAATATGGCGACAAAGATGAGGACAATAGTCCGAATAATATAAATAATCCGACATTCATGTTCGACTGTAAATATATGGAATTTATTTATTTATACACTGGTGAGGCAAAACATTATAGCCGGTGATCTGTATCATGAATGACAATAATTATGCAGTAAAAATGCACATGACAGGTATATAATCAGGTACGGTGGCCTTGAGTATTTCATCCGAATGTATTGGAAGCTGGATATATCAGCAAAAAGCAAGATTGATTGATTTTGGCAGAGTCCAAATAATTATGGCCAGAAAAATAAGTTATGGAATTTCCAAAATGACAGGGGTTGGTGCGAAATGACATTTCCAAAATGACAGGAGTTTCGTATTTACCAACAAATATCAGAAAAATGAAAATTACCAAAACCAGTCACTAGGCATCGGTCGGGCATGATTTATCGATGTGAGAAATAAATGGAAGATTTCCTGATAAGTACCAGCCAGTAGAAAGGTTATTTTAGCACGCATTCCATATAGTTTTAAACAATATCTTTGGGTTAAAGTGTTTACAAAATTCTTTTAAGAAAAAAATATTTTGTTCAATGAGGGACTACAAAAGGTAACGTTGTTGAGAAAGGTCCATTATTTATTCAGTGCATTTTGCCTCTTCTCTCCGACTCATTCTGTTTGATGCTGTCCTTACAGCCTCAACCATTGTCATTACAGTTCACCTCTTAATATCATCAAACCAATACATCGGTGCTCGTCCACAGCGCTGCTTGCCCCACCCTCACCGAGACTAGCAATGTCCCTATGGAAGCTACCTCGTCGCATAATATGCCAAAAGTAAGGGAGCTTAGTGTCATCTGCTCTGTCAATACGTACCTTGTCCTGATGGTATCTAGCGCCCACGTATTAATATGTATCGCTGTCCATGGCACTCTTAGGACTCTTAGACGATATGCCTACATCTCGAAAGTATCAATCCGATGTCTTTCCTTCTTGGCCAGTGCCCATGATTCGCATCCGTAGCTGGCGATATCGAAAGCAATGGTTCGTAGTAATTTCAACTTTAAGCTAATGTATATATTCCGACAATTTCAGATGATTTCTTGTTATTGCCAGTAGAGCTGTCCTGGGTGTTGATAGTGGGGTCCACGTACGCACACTCCTCCATTTCCTCTATCCCCTTACCACCGAGAAGTGAATCTGTAAAATCTGCGCGGTCCCTGTCAATCACCATTACGTTGCTTTTCTTAGTGTTTAACAGAAGACTTAATTGGACACGAGAATCACTTACAGTCTTTAAAAGTTCTAATAGGTTGGACTAATTAAGCGGGCTAAAAGATGGTAGAAAATAGTGAATAAAAATCGTAAACAGGTCATGCAAAAATGTTTATACATAAAATATATCTCACAAGTACAAAAATATTCCTTACCCGTTATCAATATATATATATATATATATATATATATATATATATATATATATATATATATATATATACTACAAACAAAAAGTTTAGGGTCACATTGCATTTCTTTAATAAAACCCTTAAAATCATATTTTTTTTTTATATATATATATATATATATATATATATATATATATATATATATATATATATATATATGTGTATAAGAAAAATATAATTTTAATTCATGTATGGATAAAACTCAATATCAGGTATAATATGAAAATATTTTGGACATTACTTCAACACTCAGCGGCGACAGCCTGTTTCATGTTCAAACGCAATCTTCAAGTCTGATGATTACGTTTGATAGTCTTGATTTCAATGTCCACTTGTATGTATCTCTCTCTTTCTGTCTCCCTCTCTCTCTCTCTCTCTCTCTATATATATATATATATATATATATATATATGTATGATGCTGAAAAGTTCTAAGAACAAATTTGGTGACTGGACATTTGGTCAGAATTTAGAAATTGGTTTTAAAATGAAAGCTTTTCGACATGCCATATTACCTATCTATCTATCTATCTATCTATCTATCTATGCATTGTATAAATATTTGTATGTAAGAACGTACAATATATATACGTACAATATATATATACGTATATCTGTGTATGTATGAATGAAACGTTGCAAGTACATGAAAGAATTCTATAAGCATACAAGTATGTGCATCCAAGAAGGGCTTTATACTCATGTATTGTATATATGTGGGTATGTAAATAGAAAAAGGGGCAAACATAAGCCTCAAATAAGGTTGATGTAAAAGTTCGCAACATATATATGTATATCTATATGTTCGCGCACACAAACACACATACAAACACGCATAAATGTTTGATTATGCTTGCTGAGAGATTAATAAAAGATCGATATTTGGTTGGGTGAAACAGATGATAGGTGATGTGTAAGTGATTTGATTGATTAATGGGTAAATAGATTGATAGATGTGTTCAAAGATGTTTGAACTGGAAGATAGGCACACGAATATAGCCATGTAAATAGACAGCGACCCAGTAAGCAAATGAAGACACGGTTCTGGAGTTTGGAAAGAAATGAAGAAATGATAGCCTATGATTCGTCAGAGATTGAACTGGGCGAATGAAGAGTTGATAGACAAATACTTCACGAGGTTGATTACAAACATTCTATCTATCTATCTATCTATCTATCTATCTATCTATCTATCTATCTATCTATGTTTATTTATCTCACTATTGATGTATCGTTAGAGTAAAGAAGCGTTTTGTCTCCTAGAAGGGTATCATCTAACTGAACTAATATTTTTGGTGGGTGATGGGAAACTGCCCCTCTCTGTTTCTTCGGCCCTCTCCAGGTCTCTCTCTCTCTCTGTGTCTGTATATATATAGTATGGTGATTTCCTTTCGTCTTTCAATGATAATATTATTAAGCTTATCAGACAATATGAAAGGAACTTACTTAAAATAAATAGACAAAACTTGTCTATATTATTTAATGAAACATGCATTATATATATATATATATATATATATATATATATATATATATATATATATATATATATATATATATATATATAGTCCTGTCGATGAAACAGACTGTTGCCTCTGGGTTTTGACTCCCATATACACTTTTATATTTACATGCGCTCTACTCCTGATATTGAGCACTTTAGTCTATAAACATAGCATCACCTTAAAACTACATTTTATCACATTTATATAATTAATGTAAAATTTTATCTCTTAGCTGATTGATGTTTCTTTCAGCATCCCCTGACAGGGAGTGGGAGTGGGAGTGTGTGTGTGTGTGTGTGTGCATTTCCTGCCCCACTTGTTATTTAAATCTTACTAAATGGCCAAGAATTAATGAACCCTAAAAACTTTCAGTATCAAATATATATATATATATATATATATATATATATATATATATATATATATTACATGAATCATTCATACAAAAAACAGATATAGAAGTTAATGATTTAAATGGCGAGAATACATTCATGTAATGTAAATTGAACTGCACCACATATTTGATATATATTTATATATATATATGCAGATATGTAGAAAAATAAGAAAGAACACGTTAGGTAAATAATCCGGAGTTCTTTAGTATTTTTGTTTTATTTTTAAAAACAGTGCTCCATACAGAAGTAGAGCTTAAATTATAATTATTTTTAAAAAAAAAATATGATTCCTTCGCTAGATTCCTAAATTTTCGCTTGAGGATGAAACAGGGCTTGATAATTTAACTCAATTTAATTTTAATAATTACATTGAGGGTTTTGGCTCTCGTTTTTGAAACATGAGAACTCTTATGTAGCGATGGAATCATTTTTTTTTTAAATAATTATAATATATATATAAGTTTGTGTGTGTGTCTGTGTGTGTTTTTGCGCGTGTGTGCTTGAGCTCGTCTGTGTATATGTGTGACTATTTGTGTGTGAAATAGATTTTGCGTGTGAGTACAAATACATAATTCGATGCATTGATCGTAAAACCAGGAAAATAAGACATTTCAGTTAATAGCGGACGAACTTGCCGATGGATCAATAGATTAATAAAGACATAAGAAATCATGCAGCCAAATAATTTGACGCTGAACGAAACCGATCAATAGACATCCAGATAAAGGAGAATTGCCCGATACTAAGGCAAGATATACGAGCAAAAAACAACACAATCAGTTTACAAATGCCTTGATTCAAACCGCATACGACTATGACTCCGTCTTCCGCCTTCGTTATCTAAAGCGATATAAATGTTTTGACATAATCAAAAGGCTTTTCTGAATAATATATATGGGATCATTGTTAGACAGATTTTAGATTTTAACTATTCAGATGAGATTCCGAAAATAATGGATCCTATTTATTTTCAAGAAGACCATAACAGATACAGGGAGCATAATACAACTTTTAGAACACATTTTTAGATCAAAAATTAATATTTTTAATAGAATCGTCACTATTGCACCTATATAACTGTTTAAACACATTACCCGCCCACTGTGTTCACATCCACTGTTTGTTCTCCTTAGTCGTTCGACTTGTAAATTTCCACTACTACAAGTGGGAAAAAGTATTTAAAAAAAGTATTTAAAAAAACGTAAAAAAGTATTTAACATAGTTAAATGTATTACCAGACCTTTAACTATGTTCACATCCTCCATTTGTTCTCCAAAAATATTCTGCACGTGTCAATAAATAATAATGGGTGTTATCTTATTCATGAAGGAATTCAATGATATACGTCAACTTCGCTCAGATTTTCATGTCAGATGTTATTTTACAAAACTGCTGCTGTATTGCTATCTGCAACACTGCTAAAATATAGGTTTATTGGTTGAAAGGCCCAGTTTCTACTGCCATACAACTGACGTCGCCCTGACGTTGCGGTCATAATAATAAAATAGAAAGAATTGCTTTCGAAGTAAACCTCACACATTTAGAAACCCTAATTGGAAATCGATTATTGAAAGAGCTTTCTGGATGATGACAGAATCGTATAATACAGGAAAATACTCCAAATATATCTTAGAAACTGTTGGCAGTTTGGAATATCCTGATTCACTCCTCTTAACTCAGGAGAACGACGTACATAGAGACATCAATCACCTGAACTCATTTCTATCTCGTTTCTCTTACATTTCCCGATGTCTGTCTCTCCTTTTCACTCTTTCTATTTATTCATCTATTTTTTTAATTCTCTTTTCCCCCTCTATTTCTTTACTTCATCTCTCACCAATGTCTTTTCCTTTCCCCATCTCTGTTTTTCATTTTAACTCCACTTCTTTTCTCCCTTTCTTTCACCTTCTCTTTCTGTATCATCTTCTGTCCATTTTTCTCCCAACAACTCATCCTTACGAGAGTAAGAAAGGAAACAGTAAAATCAACAATAGAAGTAATATTCCCATTCAGCAGAGAAGACTTATTTTTCGCATGCTATGGATTTGGAAATCAAACCTCATTTTGGAACAAATGAACTTGTTCATTTGGAAAGTTAAAAATTCGAACTGGTTATAAATGTTTTCCATCGACATATGATTCTTAATATGTTCGTTGTATTTTGAAAATCAATAAAAATCTCTTAAAATATG